TGGTGATGATGGAGTGGGGAATGTTGATTCAAGTGACCGGGGTTATAGGTGAGTAATGATATTTGTTGAGTTAATTTGTCCTACATGTTCTGTCATGTGATGTGACGTGATATAGTGTGCTGTGCTGTGTTGTGGTGGTCCTCGTTGGTCACTTCTCTTGACTGGTCCCAGATTGTCATAGAAGTGGTTATAGACATATCAAACGAATGTATTGTCTATTTCTGCAGCTGGAGCAGATACTGATTGCATCTACGCAATATATTACTAAGGGAGAGCTTTGATTTTGAGAAGAAAGTGTCTAAAAGATCATCAGTTATGTACGACTTACCAAGTTATACAGACTTCCTCATATAAAGTGGTCCCATGTGAATGTATAACCGTCAATAGCCAGCCCGTGAATACTTTTCCAGAGTTATTATCCCTCCACACATGCATGTTTTTTTCCACCCTGTCAACAACACATTATCTACAGAGAAGTGAAAAAGCAAATGTAGGCGACACTTTCAAAGAGGATTATGACTAGGAAGCATTTGTAATGCTGAGCTATCTGATTAGTCAAATCAAGGTGATTTAACTTTGGTGTCGATTGCTTTTGTAATAATAATCACTCATTTTGTTATTCAATCAATAATATACGAAGCTGTTTTGACTGACGTGTAGTTTTGTGAGAAGAGTACTAGTACAGTCAGTCAGTCAGTCAGTCAGTCAGTCAGTCAGTCAGTCAGTCAGTCAGTCAGTGAGTCAGTCAGTCAGTCAGTCAGTGAGTCAGTCAGTCAGTGAGTCAGTCAGTGAGTCAGTCAGTGAGTCAGTCAGTCAGTCAGTCAGACAGTTGTTGTTGGTGGTGTTTTTATATATATAGACCCATTGCTATTACCTCTCCTTTTTTGAAAACTATGCAGAAACTACTTTTACTTAGTCTTGTACCCTCTCTTAAATCCTTTAATGACCCAAAACAGTTTGCCTGTAAGCACAGTAGAAGCACTTTAGATGCAGCCGCCGTCTTATATCATAACATTGCTTCCAGTCTAGACAAAGGGGCTAAATTTGTTCGTTGTGCCTTCCTAGACTATACATCTGCTTTTGACTCGGTCCCTAGGGACATCTTGTTAAATAAACTTGCTGTAAGTCAAACAGAATGTTGGGCTGCTAACTGGTTACATTCTTATTTCTCAGAAAGAAAGCAGTACACCGTATATAAAGGGAAGTCTTCGACTTCATTACCTACTGAAGCTGGTGTCCCTCAAGGCGCTGTCCTTTCTCCTTTTCTTTTTTCTTTCTTCTTACATGACTTGCCTCAGTCTGATGAAATAAACTTTGTGAAGTACGCTGATGATTTAGCTGTTTCAATGGCTGTTAACTCCCAGCTAGATTGTACCAAAATAAATAGCTTTCTGTCGGAAGTCAGTAAATGGTGTGAGTCTAACGGTCTTAAACTGAATCCTTCTAAATGTCAAACTGTTAATTTCAGCTTAAGATGTAAACGACAGTTAAAAGAAGCCGTCGATTCTCATGACAGTTGTAAGATTGATGACAATGATATAGGAATTAAATCAAAAATTAAGTATCTTGGACTTATTGTCTCTTCCGATCTCTCCTGGTCTTCCCATGTCTCAGCGATCTCCAGTAAAATATTCCGCCTGACATTTTACATTAAGAAGTTAAGGCACTCGGGTTTAACTCAACCCCTCCTCTTACAGTTCATAAACTCTTGCATCCTACCTATTCTTCTTTATTGTTCATCCCTGCTTATTCCTTCCTGGTTTACTTAAAAAGGACTTTGTCACAATTCGTAGAATGCTGAAGACTGTCAGTAGGATGAGTGGTGTCCCAGTGGACTACATAGTTAACGTCGTTGTCGATAGGCATTTGACTTCGTGCAGTAAATTTGCTAAAGGGATTTTGTCTGACTTGGAGCACGCACCACAGCACCCTCAGCTTTCACCTTGCATCTCCTCAAGTAGAACAAGAAGTGACATCAGAAAACTGTATGCTCGCACATCTAAGTATAAAAATTCTATCATACCACACTTGGCCCGTATTTTATGTGATGAAAATAGCGTCAGGCAAGAATTGACTAACTTTTTTTCATCTAGTAAATAAACAATCTCCTCCATCCATCCTTATATGCCTTCAAGTTTCACTTTTATTATTTCTATTATATTTATGGTCCTGTTGCTTCTTTGTTTTTACTTTCATAACTGCAAACACCAACTTATCTCTATGACTGCTGTAATCTTTGTTTTTTCCCTCACCATATCATGTAAAGAGAACATTATATTCAATGTTTTTAATCATGCAAGGATTTGTATACCGCATTGACAATACTGTGTGAAACAAGCCCATGGAAATTTTCACTTGTATTATTATCATTATTATTATTTCCATTTTATATGCTGCATGTCTTTTATTTTTTTATATTAACCCTATTGTAAATGTGGAAAATTTTCTATGTGATTAATTTTATTTATAATTTGAGGAAATTAGATGCAATATTGTGAATAATGCTGAAAATTCCATTCTGTATCACAAGTACTGTTTTCAGAATAAAGTAAATCATTATTATTATTATTATTATTATTATTATTATTATCATTGTGTGTAAACTATTGAAATATAATTATACTTTATTTGATCTAATCCACAATGCTCAAACTTTTTACGGGCATCATGAAAACTTCAACATCTCGTTTTCCACCAATCATGAAGTAGACATGAATAAATCAATGAGTGAATGACTGAATGAATGAAAAGGATTGAAAATCTGATGTAGACCATAGAAACACGCACACACACACGAACACGCCCACAGCTAGACAAAGAGACACAGAGAGAATGAGAGAAGTGGTCATAACCGCTTGCATGCATGCACGAAAACAAACAACAGGCCGATTATTCACCAGTAATTTCTACATTGAAATGGAAAACAAAACAAATCACAGGCTGCAACAAACAACAACCAATGAGCATGCTTGGTTCCAAAATCCTGTGACCTTAATCACCAGAAAACAAGGCCAACATGTCTAGCCAACACTCGTGTATGACCTTGTGACGAAAACCACTGGAACATCCAATGACAACCCTTCCATATACATACACCTATGATAATAAGTTAGACACTGTCTCTATATAATATCAACATATATACAAAAACACGCAGAAATATACCAGAGAAATACACTAACCGAGAATAACACCACGACATACTGAAACAAATTACGGAATATCTGCAAAACCTCTCGGTTATTATAATTATTACTACTACTATTATTATTATTACTATTATTATTATTCATCATGGCCGATACATCTGCGACACAGAATGATGAAGCAGTCAAAGAACAAGCAAAGCCAATCACACCACCGATGACATACAAAAAGAACGAGGTGAAAGAATTCACACAACTATTAATCAAATACAAGAATATGTTGACGGACAGAGAAAGAAGTCCGCGATCACTGCTGATGAAGAAAAACATGTGGGTGCGATTCTCAGAATATCTGCACTCGAAAGGATATCCGAGACGACACTGGACTCGACTCCGTTATAAGGGATGGAAAATTCTGAGAAAGCTGAATCTCACCATGACAGACAGACTGGCCCCAGTGTGTCCCGATATTCCGAAGTCTTCTGAATCCGCCTCTATTCATCACGTGGTGGTCAGTGGTAATGGAGATTCCCATTTCAGTAGCCAGTGCACTTCGGTATGTTCACATTCCATAACAACATGTTAATCCTATTGAATGAAGGTAGGTAATGTTGACTCGAGTGTTCGTCAATTGAGTCTGCCGTTACTGACTCCCTCACCATGTGTTTGGATGTCACAGAGACCCCACATCAATTCAACGCCTTCTACGGTCTCCACTGACACGAATCCTTCAAACACGATGGGTCTGAGAATCTTGAACGCCTACTCAATAGCTCTTATCCCCCAGAATTTGTGTGTTCCATACGACTCAGTGGAGAAGACTGTGAATCGTACGAATAGGAGCGACGAGTTGAGTAATGGAGTTCGAGCACACAGTGGAGTGAATGAATCTGTGAGTGTTTCGAATGGTGTTGGTGAGGTGAAGGGTTGTCGTGTTGGCGATGTGGGAGTTGGTGAATCGTGTGTTGGAGGAGTTGGTTCTGGCGTGAGTGAGACTATTGATTTGTCGTTGTCAAGTGATGATGAGAGTTGTGAGGAGATGGATGTGAATGGAGTTGGTGATGATGGAGTGGGGAATGTTGATTCAAGTGACCGGGATTATAGGTGAGTAATGATATTTGTTGAGTTAATTTGTCCTACATGTTCTGTCATGTGATGTGACGTGATATAGTGTGCTGTGCTGTGTTGTGGTGGTCCTCGTTGGTCACTTCTCTTGACTGGTCCCAGATTGTCATAGAAGTGGTTATAGACATATCAAACGAATGTATTGTCTATTTCTGCAGCTGGAGCAGATACTGATTGCATCTACGCAATATATTACTAAGGGAGAGCTTTGATTTTGAGAAGAAAGTGTCTAAAAGATCATCAGTTATGTACGACTTACCAAGTTATACAGACTTCCTCATATAAAGTGGTCCCATGTGAATGTATAACCGTCAATAGCCAGCCCGTGAATACTTTTCCAGAGTTATTATCCCTCCACACATGCATGTTTTTTTCCACCCTGTCAACAACACATTATCTACAGAGAAGTGAAAAAGCAAATGTAGGCGACACTTTCAAAGAGGATTATGACTAGGAAGCATTTGTAATGCTGAGCTATCTGATTAGTCAAATCAAGGTGATTTAACTTTGGTGTCTATTGCTTACTGTTGCTGTAATTCGTCAACTTTCTCTATTGACTGAGATTATTCGTGGATTTTTTTCATGGATTGTTACTTCTCTGACTTCACTGTGACTTAGTCCGTGACTAAATGACAATTATCTCTGAGATTACTGTTCAACTAACTTTGTATATATAAAGGTGTGAATAAGTGTGTGTGTGTGTGTGGGTGGGGGGTTGGGGGCTTTGAAGTAGAGTTACACGGAGGGATATCTTTCCTGACTGATGTGTTTGTAAGTTACTGGTTATTCTGTAGAAAAGCAACAATAGAAACTGGTCCCCCTATTGCAAACGTTATTTATATATATGTCTAACGACCCAATGAATAAATGAATCGATGAGTGACTGAATGAATGAATGCACTACCTGAAGGTTTAGTACTGATTAGCGAAAGGAGATAGAAAGAGAGGAGAAAGACTGAGTTACTTGGAAATATGCTGGGATGTGTTTGTGTCATTGAGAACTTATTTAACAAGAGACATCTAGGTACAGAAAGAGTCGAAAGGAGAAGTGAAGTCGAGAAACGTGCAACGAAGGCATTTGGCACAGGAGTTGTTGACATCTGTTTCGTCGCGTATTGGTACTGTGCTCTGATACGTTTCATCGATACATATTGTTTATTCATGTGTTCGTGTGAGACCGACTTAGGGAGAGAAATAGACAACGAGTGTATCGAAGGTGATTCGTACAATTGGTAATGAAGTTAAGGTTAAGGTGGAAAGTGTGGAAGTGGGGAGGTAATTGAGAAGACTACGGGATTGTTTGTTGTAGGTGGTTGTGGATAAGTTAGTAGTCGGACATGATATTGAGGAGAGACAGATTTTGTTGTTGTTGTTGTTGGTGGTGGTGGTGGTGTTGAGTGTTTCGACCTGTAGTTATGTGACCGTTGTTGTGGATTTCACAACTTCTCATACTTACTTGAGTTATTTTGTGAGGAGTAAATAACAGAATTTTCTCTCCCTGTAGATGTGATGTGGATGAGAGAAGAAGACGTGAGTCGTTACTGTTTGAGAAGAAGATGCGATGTCTGGATTTGGAGATTGAAGCTGCGGAAATGTGGCTTGAAAGTATGAGAATGATGAAAGAATATTATTGTAGGAAGTGGAATTCATTGTCGCAATCTTGAAGACAGAATGAGGAAGGAAGTACGCGTAAATCAGATATCCCTAGTTTTTATTAATTTCGATATTTATAATAAATATTTATATGTATGTATTCACTAATGATGTCTTTTTGAATGAGTTACTGTAGCGTGTAATTTGAAAATAGTTTTGGTGAGTAATGTGGCATGTATTGTGAAAGAGAGCATGTGTAGCCAGCCAGCCAGCGAGCGACTTAGTTGGCTGGCGTCCTCCGGTGTAGAAGGTGTTCTGGGAAATGTGAGTTTGATTTTGTCTACTTATGATGATGGGAGCCAGCCCGACGATGTGGGTGTTGTGAGTGATTGAAATGACGACGTGGGATTTGTTTTGACTGATAGTTGTTGTGCTTGAAACATTGTGTGTGTGTGTGTTTGTGGTTGGGGGGTGGGGTGGGGAGTACAGGTGATGGATTTGTGTTTGTTTTGTGATTTCGATGATTGATAAAATGTGTTTAGGTGAGATTAATCGTACAGTTGCTGTTGTTGTTGTTGTTTTTGTTGTTGCATTCATCGAATGGAAATGGATTGTGATGAGGAGAAGAGACACGTTGGTTAACTAACCATCCATGCATCGATGCGTGTATCCTGTGTTAGAGAAATCGGCCTGATGAACTCATGACATTCAGCGTAAACAAGTGAGTAGTGGGTGAAATGTTCATGTTGAAGTGTGTTGAAATAGCAAGACTCTGGATAGAGTCTGTGTTAGTTAGTCAGTTTGTTTAGTAAGCTTTGATTTATCAAATGATAGTTTGGTTAGACATCTGGTGTTTTCTCGTGTGGCTATATGAATGTGAATGTGAATATGTGATGGATGATGGGTTTGAGGCTGAATATACGGAGGTCAATGTATTTTGATGAGATGTTGGTGGAGAATGATTTAAGAGGTTCATGTTCACTGACAATCGAGGTGATAGGATCATGTTCAACTAGGTGTTATAGTGTCATGATGATGAGGGTAGGGTCATGATGCATCGAATCGTTTGTGTAGTTAATAATTCCTGGTCATATTTATTCAGTCAGTTAGACGGATGGATGATTTGATTGGTGTGTGGAGAGCATAGTTGACTACTTTTCTTGTTCTGCGTCTGAACCTTCATGACTTGTGTTCGATTTGAATTGTATTCATGCTGATTGTAAACTTGAGATGAATAATGAAAATATGCAGAGAATGTAGAGACGAGGAGGTGGAGGATTGTGCGTGTATGTGTGTGTGTGTACTGCATTCTGTAAGTGCATTAATTGATTGATTGACTGATTGATTGATAAATTGGGAAGACGAAATGTTTGTTCGTAGAGGCGTAAAATGAAGGATGATGGGATGTGATGTGGTGTAGTGTGGTGTGGTGAATTTAGTGAAAGAGCAAGGCAGATCATACGTGAATGTCATGGCTGAATGGAGTAATTATGAATTTGTTGATTGCACACAAGACCAGGTCTACAATATTGACTGAACTTGTTCCTTTCTCACACAGATCGATGATCAGTGGTTGGTTTAAGCGAATTGCAACAACCTCTGCTGCTTCTAGTGTTCAGTGTCTAGAGGCATTTGGCATGATAGGAGAAGATTGTTCAATGCTCGTTTTCTGGTGTGTGTTGGACCAGGTGGTCTAGTATAGTATGTAAGTAACTGTTGATGGCTTCTGCTACATGTTTATTCAGCGAGACTGGTAGGCATTTGCAAGCATGAAAATCAAGTAGGTGATAGACGAGAAGAGCTGTTTTCGACTTTCTTGACGATGTAGTTGGTGATGAACTGTTCGGGATAGCTACTTTCAGTTGTAGCGTTGTATTCAATGTTAAGTTGATCATCAATTACACCTTGTGAAAATACAGCTGTGAAACTGTAACAAGGTGAGTGTCGCTACCAAATTTCTTTTGTACTGCAGAGAAATGAATGTATGAAAATATGTATATATATGGATTAAATGCATATATTGTTCACTTTAGCTTGCTGCACGATGAAGAAGTGGTTGGTTTTGAGGCAAGAAGTCTGTACACTGAAATCCGAATTAGCGGAGCTCTGTAGGTATTTAGGAATGATGAGGTGGATATTGATGGTCAACTGAAAATAGGACCGAAGTATCGCTTTGAAGTGGTTTCTGCCTACACATATATATATGTATATCGCGAATTGGTAGATGTTGAGATTGATGGACTAGCCATTGGATTGGGTCCAAGTGTCTGAATGGTCTACGATCTGTCCTCATGGTCGGAAGGTGATGATGTGGGACACTGTCGCGAGGGTACCGCTGAGTAGTGTCATACTAGAACGAAACATCTGTCCAGTATTCCCTCCCTGGTTTCCATGCAGCCTAACAATTATTTCTCAGAATAGTCGACCTCTTTAATAATGTATATCTATCTCACTTATGAAGGTGAGTGAAATTATCATTTCTTGATTGCATTGTCTTTCATAGATGTTGACAATGATGCCTGTATGACAATTATGTGGTTAAGAATGATTTGTCAGATAACCGGGAGAGCGTATGTTGAAGCCGTATGTTCGACTCGTGACCCAAGGGAACAACAGTGCATATAATAATAAAAAGACAATCAAGTTAATTGGTAGTTACAGGAAGGAAGGAAGGAGCGGTCAGCCTAGAATGTTCACATTTCACATTCGGTATTGTAATTAGGTGTGTAGAGAATATTGACTGGAAACTGTGAGGACTACAAATTCTGTGGATATTTATTTTCGACTTTCTGATTCATCTGTTTCCTTATGAACTTCTCCGGACAGCTACATTTAGTTAAGCTATCATGTAGAGTATTTAGCTCGTCGTGAGTGATATCTTCCCAGTATACAGTTGGCACTTTATAGCTGAGTGACATTGTCTGATTACTTTTGTACATGTTGGCTGACACGAAACTATGGGAATGCGTAGATTGTCCTGTCCATTTGCTTTTCTCAAATGGACTTCATTTTATGTGATCTTCTTGTGACAAAGACACCGACGAAGGTGATTTACCCTTGGGATTCTTCTTCATACGTGATTTTGATGGTTGGATGTATTTCAAAATTCATTGAAATGGCGGTGTATCATGCATGATGTTATCTGAGTCATTTTGACAAAGGATAAATACACCATCTAATCTATGTGTCGACAAAGAAATGTGAAGTTTTTGATGAACCTTTGCGAGAGATTGTATTTTAGCTTACTTGGGAAGAAATCTGCTGTGCTTACAGGCAGTCAAAAGCCCACCCATTGGAACATCACCCACCACCTCTCTGCACGCCTCATCGTCAAATGTAACATTCACCTTCATACTTCACTTTAGTAGGAGTCGTTTAACGACTTCTACTGGGATCCCAATACTCATGGATTTGTCATTTATTAGTTCACATATGTAGTCAACCGTTTCCAAGGATCTCATAGCTTCATTGCTCGTACTAATATCACTGACTTTGTCTACACAATCGAACACATCCTCGACGTTGTACATCAGCATACATTC